AACCCCCACAGAACGAAAATGCATCATGAGGATGTCTTGGTTTTTTTAAAAAATAACCTCCAAGTTTCACCTTTTAGCAGCAGCTGTGTTTTACAGCAACATATGGACATCCAGCTCTGACAGCGCTGGCAGCCATACAACAAAAATGAAGTGCTGTGCTGTGCCCAGAGAAGCTTTGTTGAAACGGGATGTTTTGTCCTTCTTGAAACCTTTCTTCTCAACACAGCCACACACAGCAGGAGGGACGGAGCCTGGCTCACACATCTGTCATGCCTGAAGGTGCAGGCACCCTGCAGAGCAGCCTGTGCTCAGCACAGCCTTGACAGGAACACTGACTTCTGCCTTCTCCTTCCCCAGGCTCTTCTCTGCAGCTGCTTCCTTCCTATCTACTGCGGGTTCATCCCTCCGTCCTACCGAGGTGTGGTGAGTGATACTCCCAATAAAACGTACCCTTGGAGCAGCAGGTTCCTGGGCTTAATTCCTATGTCCCCAGGAGCATGGAGGGATATAGGTGTCCAGACATCTTCTTTGGTTAATGGAGGATGATAAAGCCTTTTAGCACCTCTTCATCCCATTATAGCTGGGTGAACAGCCACCCGGAGAGTGCTCTGCTGCTTTGCCCATGGCAAAGCCTTCCCACGGCAGTCTCCAAGCCGTCACCTGGGCAGGATCTGTCTGCAGCACAGGCGATGTCCTCATCCACTCAGGTGCAGGCTTGCAAAGCTGAAATACTAGAAGTTCGTGGGAGGATCCTCCCCCAGCCACGTGTGCATCGCCACTCTGCAAAGCGCTGCACTGAAGGCAACGTGTGCAGTCTGGCTGCTTGCTACATCTAAGCGAAGGAGGAGAGCAGCACCTTGTATTTTACATGCAGTCTGAGCAGGACATCACGATCCATCGGTGCTGGTTTGCAGGCAGGCTTGTCCTGCCCTCAGGTGCCAGGTCAGCCCTCCGGCTGCACTCAGTGTGCAGAGCACAGCCTGCAGCCCACAGGTCCCAAGGCTCAGAGACAGTGCTGCACAAGGCTCCTGTGCACCAGCATTTCATGCACATCTGCTGCAGTGCTTGCAACCTCGAATCCCACCAAGGTGGGTGGCACACTCAGCTTCCTTTCAGAATACAGCCAGTGGTGTTTTCCTTGCCCACTGAGCGATTCTATCGATGCTCATCCGATGAGGGCACCCTACTGATGGAGCTCACACCAAGAGCAGAGCAAGTCCCAACCTGAAACGCAGGACTTGAAATTCATACAGCACTGCTTGGAACAATTTTACAAAGCCTTGTGAATGGAACTAATTATATTTCAGTTTTAATAACCATGGTGTGTCACAGCTGAGACTGGGAGAAAGGTGAGGGGTGGGAAGCATGGCCATGTGGGGCTGTCACAACCTTCTTGCTCACCTCCTGCTGATGCTGCCCATGCACAAACTCAATTTTGTCTGCACTTCCCTCTCAGCGTTACGTTGATGGGGGATTCACGGGCCTGCAGCCCGTCTCCAGCCTGGAGGAAGCTGTGATCACTGTGTCCCCATTCACGGGAGAGCTCGACATCTGCCCACGGGACTGCCCTGCCATCTTCTACTGCTTCCAGATCTTCAATGGCAGCATTCAGCTTTCGGTGGAAAACCTGTGCAGGATTAGCTATGCTTTGTTTCCACCCAGCACCATGGTAAGCCAGCCAGGCCCTCTTCCTTTTGCTTTGATAATATATTGGCATGAGCTGCCCAGGGAGGTGAGGGGGTCACCATCTCTGGAAGGGCTCAAAAGCGACGTGGCACTGAGGGAAATGCTCAGTGGGCTTGGTGGGGTGAGGTTGGACTTGGGGATCTTAAAGGCCTTTTCCAGCCTTAATGATTCTATTTTAGTCCATTCTAAACTGGGCCGGATCTGCCTTCCCCAGTGTTAGGGCTCATATTGACCTCCACCATTAATCCACCAGGTTCTAAGGGGAGGCTCAGACTCTGGGGCTGCCCCCACTCTGATTTTTCGGTGGGCAGTGCCGATGGGTGGCCGATCTGGGACAGAACTCACCCTGCCCTGAATACCCACAAGGGATCAGTGCTTCTGTAGCTGGAAACCATCAGATGTTGACGGTGCTCCCAGGCCGTCCATCCCAACCCACGCATCCAAACAGCCTGGGGCAGATCTGCCTCTCCCTTGCATAGAGAGCTCTGCAGTGACCTCTGGTGTTTCATTTTGCAGGTCCTGAACGACATTTTTTCCCAAGGGTACCAGGACACTGCCCTTTTCCTGTGCAGGAACAGTAAGTGTTACCCCAAGACCCAAAGAGCAGCCTAAAAACACGACCCAACGTGTGGCCAACCTCGCTGTTATCTCACAGATGCCTTCGGTGTGAACTACTTCGACGGCAATTTCCGCTTTGCCAGCATGTGTGGGAAGAACGACTTCCCACAGCCCAACAGGATGCTGAACAGTCTGGGCAAGCGCGTCCCACAGTACCTGGCACCGCGCTTCCTCCCAGGTAGAGGACTTGGGGCACTCACTGTGGGTTTTAGGGTGGCTGAAGCTACCGAGGGCTACAGCAGGAGCAGCTGGACAGGAAGAAGGGTTGCATTTATTGGGATATTTCTAATGATGGGTCTCTATTTACTCTTGTGTTGTCCTCTCGGGAGCAGACCTGGCTCGGTGGAAGAAGCAGCAGGTGTTTAAACTGCAGGATCCGCTGTCAAAGGTCCTCCTGCAGCCATACAAGCTGCCAGTGTTGGTCTGGAAGGGGTAAGGACATCTTGATAAAGGCACCAAAGCTGAGAGTGATGCATAACCCACTTGTGCTTTCTGTGAGAGGCTGAAGGGATGCAGTGTGAGGTTGGCAATGGGCAGGTTGGCATCCCACAGGCAGCACTGGGGGGTGCAGCAGGCGGCAGCGTCCTTCAGGCAGCAGCTTCATGGGAAACACCCAGAGCAGCCTCTGGGGCAGAGCAGGTTGCTGTGAGTCCCTGTTGTACTGTGAGCCAGGAAAAGGTGATGCATACCTACTGCCTTTGCAAGATAAGCTTAGCAGGAGCCTCTTCCATTGCAGACCTGAAGACAAGCTCTTAGAAAGCAAGTGAAACTAGCACAGGATCGCTTGAATCTGGAAAGGAGCATTACAGTGTACATCTGCTGTTAACACTCTCCCCCTTTTGCTGCAGTTACCAGACCTTCAACCTGTTTACTTTGCATTTGCAGGCTGGAGCAGCTGTGGGGGCTGCTGGAAGACATCAGCTCCATGGCAAAACGGTTCCAGAAGCTCCTCCGAACAGTGGTGCCTGGTTTGCCTAAGAGAGCTGGGGCCAGGAGGTGAGATATGGAGCAGAGGGGAGTCAGGGTACAGAGCTGGGAAACCCCAAGAGAGCTCTCGCCCATCAGTCACTGATACTGAGCTTGGCTAAAAGTTCCAAATCTGTGACACTCCACCTTTAAAGAGCCTATTTTTCTTTTCACCCCTGGAATGTTTTGCTACTTATTCAGTAACATCTGCAAGAAGCTACAAACCAGCCTAGTGCCACCTCCCCACAGCAGTGTATTCCAGAGCAATTACATGCTGGCCTCTGTCCTAGTGGAACACGAGGAATCTCCACCAAGTGATGTTTTGGCACTAAACTCTCAGCATTCAAGGCACTTTCCCTGCTGGACAGAGTTCTCAGCCATGCCTGCCCAAAACTTGCTGCCCATTACCTTGCACTCAACTAGCAACAGGACTTGCAGAGAATGATTTTATTCCACAGGCAGCTATCCCTATGCAAGTCCAAACCTCCCTGGGGTTTCTGATTCCCTCACTCAATGACCCACCTGCTTGTTCCCTTAGGTAACCATCCCAGGTGGGCCCTGGGGTGCTCCAACACCACACAGTTTTGCCATCCCAGTAAGCAGTGGACAACAATGGAGATCGTTTCACATGGTTGCATGGCTGATGTCCTCGTGGAGTTATTACAGGGGCTGGTTTTTTCACTTGCAGAAATGGGCTGATCTTGTTTCTACTGCAGCAGTCTCCCCACCCAGGCCTGACCTGCTTTAACATGATGGCCAAGGAAAAGCACTGCATCTGCAGCCAAGCTGCAGTCTGTGCAGGAGGGATCAGGCATCTTGCATGCACATACAGCCCAACCACTGCTTTCCCTAGCCACTCCACTTGCTGATTACAAGAATCATCCCTCCTCCTGCTCCGAGCCTGCAGAAACATGCTAAGATGTAATTATTTCATGACTCAGCACATGTATCAGCTGCCTTACACTTTATTAAGCCCTCATCTTTTCAAGCAAGCACCTGATGCTGTCTCCTCTGCACAAGCTTAGGGCTAATGGCACAAAGCAGACAATGGGTAAAGTCTGGCATTTCTTTGAATCACCTCATGGAGCTTTTTACAACCTGGAAAACTCAGCTGCACCCAAACCAGCTGCAGTAGATCCTGTACTTCTCCTGAAATAGCTCCATTAAAGGTGGGTGATGGGATTCATATGCGGCCTCTGGGAGTATAAGAAGGGTTGTGGCTCTGCCTGTGCTGCTGATGTTCTGTCACTGTGCTCTTCAGTGCATCTCAGTGGCTGTCTGCAGGCTGTGTTCTGAGTTGTTCTTTTTTTCTTTAAAACATGAACTGGGGCCAAAGGCAGCAGCTGTGTCAAAAATGTTCTTCTGTAGCTGGCAAGGCCCTAAAGGCAGTAGAACCACGTTGTTCAATCTGATAGACTCTGCTGATCCTTGTGTAACAAACTGGGTTCAAGCACCCGATCGGAGCTGCTTTCTTCATTGCTGTTATCTACAGCGTAATTCAAATAAACAGGCTTTGAAATCCTTAAAATAATGTTCCCATGCTAATGCCTTGCTGCTTGGCCCTGTCTGCACTGAACCCTGCAGAGCCATGAAGCTTAAGGAGGCTGAGATGGAGGGTTGGGCACAGCCCAAGCAGTAGGTGCTTGCTCTGAAGCTACATCCCCCAATGGATCAGGCCCCAGACTCTCCCCTCCCATGCAACCAAGCCAAAACAAAACAAACACATCCTATCCTGTTTGTCTCCAGCTTTTTGATGCATGTGTTTTATCTTGAACTGACTCTGTTTATAGGCTAGATACTAAGGACTTGCAAAATGTCTTGCTGGGCAGATGGATAAAGAGGTAATGTTTGTGATTAGTCCACCAGCGTCACCTGAGCCTTGCTCCTGTGCAAGCCCTAACAATGCAACAGTCCTTTCAGAAATGTTCTGGCTTAATAAGAAAATGTGTGAGAGTTGTGTGTGTGTTTGTATTCTTGCTTGTTTAGTACCATCAGCGTGCAGATAAACTGTGAAGTAGCCTTTTCTTGACCTGGATCAGCACTTTTCCTTCCCAGACATTAAAAAAATCTGAGGTGCTTCTCCTCTAAAGACTGAGAGCTCTGCTGAACCTCTCGGTTGCTCTCTTGGCCTAACAAATAAGTCTGATTCCTTCCACAAGTCATCTTAGAATCACAGAATCATAGAATCTTCTGAGTTAGAAGGGAGCCTGGAAGGTCATCAGGTCCATCTTAGGTTAGTGAAAAATGTGAGAGCCCAGCTCCTGCCTTGGACAAAGCTCATTTTCATTCCTTCCCTCCAAACAAGAGACCAGGTGATTCCTGACTGCCCACATCCTGCCAAACCTCCAGAGAAACCTGGGTCCTCCCCTGCTGTTCTCAAAGGCTACCTGTAGTTCAGATTGACGAGGCCTTTACACAAGCAAATATGAATTATTCTGCATTTCCACAGTAGGTCTCTTCCCGTTGGTAGAAGTGTCAGTGCTTCACAGTGGTTTTCAATGGAAATGTCTTGATTTCTTTCGTTTTGGGTATTCCAACATTTTGGTTTTAGATCTGAAATAGTAAGAGTTTCGCTCTTTTCCCTTAATGCTTAGGATTTGGTGTGGTCCTCCTAGATACACAAGAACCACATTTGGGTCTTTTTTCATCTTCAATGTATGTGGCAGCATTTTAAGTCACAACCACGCTGGAAAAGCTGTGCAATTTTCCTGTGCATGTTTTGAATTGTTGAAAAACTCAGAAAAAGAACCAATAAAAGCAAAAGCAACACTGCAGTCCAGCACATACTTTACCATATTCTGCTAGTAACAAAAAGCCAAACTGGAATCTGAAATGCTGACAGCTCACCAGTTTTCAGCATTATTTTGCACAGGATTTAAGAAAGCTAGAAGGTTGGGATTTAAGCCTACCTTATTTTGCTTAAAACTGAGTCAGCCAGAGGTTTATCTGCAGCTCCAACTTGCTTCTCTTGCACTTAAGCATTCATGTGTGGTTGCACAGTGGAATTACTAAGTAGAAGCTTTGGTTTGACTCGCACAGCAAAGCCAGCCTCAGAGATTGAGACACACTGCTCCTTCCCTCACCCTTAATGAAACAATGTGTGGGCACAGCCTGTCATTACCTTGCACCATAAGTCACTTCCTGATAAGAGCTGTGTTTCTAAAGGGCCTCTCTGATGTGGCTTCATCTGTGAGGAAATGATAATGTGGGTAGCTGGGAGTTCAGGTGGTATTTATCAGAAATCTGCTAGGAAGAGGCAGGGGAAATGTGTTCCTGCCATCAGACATCATAAATAGTAAGCTCAGCTGATTCAAGAGGGGAATCCTTCTCTTTCCTGACATTTTCACCTACTGGTGCCTTTAAAAACCCCCACAGCCTATGAGCACTGGGCAAGGGTCACACAGTTAATGAGAACTGATGGGATGAAAAACATGTTGGCTCTGTACCTTTCTGAGGGTTGCAGGAGGTGGAAATATCTTCTTCCTCCAGTTCACCTGCTGAACAAATGCTTGCTGCATTCTCCTTGGTGATGTCCTGAGAGTCTGTTGCTCTGGAGCAAGGTACTCCTGTTCCTGGCTTCCTGTGCAGGGTCCCTTCACCTTTCTGACACGATTCTTTGTGCAACGAAAGTGTAAAGTTCTCAGGAAGGAATTTGATACCAAATGCATCTGGGGGAAGAGAAGGCAGTTCTCACAGTCTGTGGATCAACTACCAGGCTCCCAGCAATGTAAGGCATGTGCAGGGTGAACTGGAAGATAAAGGCACTGAGGACCGCAGTTTGTAGCTCATCCTAATTGGGTTTTTAGGGTCAGGGGCTGCCAAATATCACAGCTTTGTGGATAACACATCAAACACTACACAAGGCACCAAGGCTACACTGTTGTCCTACCCTACATTGAGACATACGTTCCCTGGAAAGCTCTGACATTCCCAGCAAGCCCTTCCTTTAGAGGGCAAGGGAGGAACAGGGAGCTCCAGTGCTGGCCACAGAGAAAACAGGAATGAGAATTACCTGACCTACCTGCTCCTCGTTCCCAACCACTTACTCAATCTGTGTAAGAAGGAGACTGCATCCTGGTAGCCATCATGATAAAGCTGTTCACAAACCTGCAGGAGGGAGATGGCAGTCAGGAGAGGTGGGCCAGCTGTAGGGGCCTCGTGGCTCTGGGTACCTGAGGAAGCAGCTCACTTTTGCTGAAGGACACTGGAAAAGACACTGCACACGATACAGGTTTTGTTCTGACACATGTAAAACCCAGTCAACTATTTGGAAAACGAAGAAGGGAACTGGGCAATCTCTGGGACAGATGTCAAATTCACCAGCTAAAGCAGACACGGTGATGGTGGTCTGGGACACGAGGTTGGTCTTCCACATGCCGAATTCCCCATCGATGTAACGCTAGAAGAGAAAACAAGAAACCCTGAGCCTCCTTCTCACAGTGAGCTGTGTCATATGCATGCATATGGAATTTCCTCCCAGCTCAGTTCCAAACGGGCCTGAAGGGTTGGGGCTGGGGAAATCTTTCAGGCAGCAGCCCTGAGCACCGCCCCATGCAGTCAAGGTCTACACCCACCAACTCCTCCCTCCCCATTGTGGCTGTGGGGCACCTAGGTTCAGTTCCTCTCTCTGCAGACACTGTATGCCACACAGCACAAGCAACCTGGGGTACAAAAACACCTCGTGCCACTGAGATGAGCCCTTACCCTGAGCCACAGTGTGCTCTCCTGACCACAGGAATACTCACCACCCCATGGTACAGAGGAGGGATAAAGCCAAAACACAGAGGGATGAAGCAGCTGCATAACACGGCCTGTGGGAAAGACAGCAAGTGACCTGGAGGGCAAAGTTGCAAAAAATCTCTTGCCCTTGTGAGTGCTGACTCATCTGTGGCTGCTGAGGTGGGACCCACACCTGGAAGGCTCTCACCTGAATGATGTCCTCCTTTGAAGCAAACTCTGAAACCGTCACGCAATTCCAGTCACGCAGGCGGGTGAGGATGATGTGCAGCTTCCCAGATGCCAGCTGGTGGGCATTGGCAGGCAGAAATTTACTTAAGGCTTCCTTTACAACAAGCAGGACTTTCCCCCGAGCTGTAAGGAGCGTGGTGAAAAAGAGTTTCCCAGCACTATGGAGGTACTGCTGCATCTCACCTAAAGCCAAAGCGAAGCAATTATTAGTTATGTACTTTCTTAGCTGCATTTCTGTCTGGTAGAGGGACGTTTTAGCAGGTAAAGGCTGGTAAAGAGCCACCATTTTCAGCAGGGCTGAAGCTCTCAAGGGCAGATGTAGATTCTCAATGACCGTATTCAATATTTTATTTCCTACATGCTTTAGGAATCTATAAAAACCCCAAAATGTCTCCTGAGGCAATTCTGTTTCTTACATTAGGTAGAGATACATTAATTTAAATTGATAAGACATGGAGACATTCCATAACTACACCTGTACAGTTAATTTATCCACATTTTCCACTCTTAAAGAAGTCAACAAAATAAAATTCAGAGGAATTAGCCTCTGATTAAGGGCAACAGTTTAAAAAGACCTTTTGCAGCTCTGGCACCCATAGATGCTCAATCTTTCCATGCACAGAACACCCTTACCTATGTCACACTCACATGCTGCAAATGCAGCCACAATCGATCCTGAAGATATCCCGTAGATCTTGGATGCAGATTTCAGTATCTCAGGTGCCAAGTCCTGCAAAGCCTTTACCACTCCAGCTTCATATACCTGCAGGAAACTGCAGCCTCTGAACATTAAAGAGAAAGGTCGCTCATCTCCCTTCATGTTCATAACTTCTGCTAAAACCAAGAGCTCAAAGCACAAGAAAGGAGCTGCACAGGACAGGTTTGGAGGTCTCTTCTAAAGCAAGGCAACACGTAGCTGTTCCCAATCTGCTCCTGTTTGTAGCCTCTCTCACTGCATTTTATCTCTCTGTTTGACACAGATCTCAAACCCAAATGTCCAATGAAAATAAAGTAATGGCAGGAGCATGTGATGTGTGATCCTTTTAATACCTAAGGTTTCTTGTGAAAACAATTGGACTACACTGCAATACGTTCCTAAGGCGTGCACTTAGCAGCTGGGTGAAAGCCCCAGGCTGTGTGGAGGGCTGCATGTCTCACTGATATTGGGGGAGCAGCCCCTATTACAACAGAGAGAAAAGTTGCTTCCCTGAGCTGATGAACAGCGTGAGCACTACCACAGGGTTCCACTTCTTTCCAGACCATTGGAAGGTAAGAAGCAGCAATACTCCCTGGTACACCAGTGTCCTGCAAGATGCTGTTTAAAACTGGTTTGTCTCATTTGTCAGAGGTTACCAAACCCCTACCTAGGGAGTGGAGAACCTGCAGAAGGCATTTGGACTATTGAAGAAATCAAAATCCAAGTTGTTCACTCAGTTTCACAATTTCAGAGTTTTGAGTTTGCTCACAAAACTGGGTGAGTTTGGGGGTCTGGATGCAACCCTGATCTACACAAAGGGGCTGCAAAGTACTCTCATGTCAGCGTGGCAGCTGTGCTGCACATGTGGTGCTAAAGGCTGCTGTCTCCAGTAAGCCCTGAACTCCTGTCTGAGCACCACTCACACTCCTAATCCAGCCCCAAGCTTACATGGGAGCAGCATCACCGACCAGCTCCACCCAGCAGCCAAGCCACTAAGCACCTTGCAGACACCTTGCGTGAGCTTCAGATCATATTGTTGAGCTGCAAAGAGGAAAGAGCAAAGAAAAATGGAAAACTTGGGATGATAGGAATACACACATTCCTGGAATAGTCGAGAGAACAGATACAATGGAAATAATTTTCCATCTACCTTTAAGTGTTGCCCTACAAGTTAACTGCAATAAGAAGAGTCTATTCCAGATGCTGGTGTTTACTAGATGGAAGAGGGATTTAGATTTTGCAATCCACTGGTCAACCACATGAAGAAAGCTCCTGAGATTAAGAAAAAGTGATTTGTAACTCTAGGACAAAGGGGAAAAATAACTCTTGTTTTGCAGAAGCAACAAAATTGCTATTGCTTCAAGCACAGGGTTCAGCCCTATTACTGCACTACTTTCCATACACTGCTCCAATCACAAATCAAAAGCACAGATCAGGCTACCCCAGGCCATCTTTTGCTCAATTGCATTTCTGCACTACTAGGAAGTTTGTAAATCCATTTGTTTCAGCTTCTCATCCAGTCTTGTAGAAAGAAGTAAACAGTGCTTAGAGTTGAAAAGTAGGGATGGTGGTTTGTGCCTGCTTGTGTGGGGGAAAGGCAGTTTCTCCCACTGTGGTGACATGTGCCATGCTCACCTCATGCACCTTGTCTGCCTCTCAGTCAGCTCGTGTTTCATCAGCACACAACAACCTTTCACAGACCCTTTGCAGCTCCGTGTCTGGACATGCTTCAGGTCCTCTGTGTCTTTCTTGTAGTGAGGGGCCCAAAGTGAACGCAGCATTCCACGTGTGGCCTCACCAGGGCTGAGTACAGAGGGATGATCGCCTCCTGCTGCTGCTGGGTGCAATTCTGCTGATACAACCAGGACGCCTTGGCTTTCTTGGCTGCCTGGGCACGCTGCTGGCTCACATTCAGCCAGCAGAAAGGAATAAAAGAGATTCATAACCCACCCTAGAACCTCGCCTCACAAATTGCAACTCCTGCGACTTCAGCAGCTCCCTGAAGGTGCCATGTCACACTATTATTTTTTTTTCTTATAACAGGAACACAACGCACAAAATCGCAGCCTGTGCTGTATTTAGCATCAGCCACAGAAACCCTTGCCCTGCTCATGTGACGAGCACTCATCCAGGCACGTGGCATGATGTCACCATGTATGACATCACCACGTATGACGTCACCAGCTGGGCCAGCTGAACCACAGTACTGAAAGCCACAGCCTTTCCACGTGCCCCACAGCGGGCAAAGGGCGCAGTGCACACAGGCAACAGACTTCTGTTGTGGCAAGGCCTCCTCTGCGCAGGTGCTTTCATCTTACTGGGGCACACGGCGTTATTTTACGACTGAAGAAGCCAAAAGTCGTGGACACCGCAGCTCCCTGTGATCCAAGTGACCAAAACCTGGCCTCTCACTGTGGCCCGCAGCCCTGAGGGCACCTCAGAGCCAGGCCTAAGGGATGAGGACCCCAGCGTGGCCAAGACCCGCAGCGCATGAGCCGGCAGCACAACCGGACTGAGGAGGAAAGCCGCTGCTCGGCGCTGCGGGCGGGACGGGCCCAGCACAGACCAGGCCGCACCCTGGACCCAGGCGGACCGGAAGCCGCCATATTCTCACGCCCCCCCTCCTGATGACATCACTCGGCCACCACTTCTCTCCTTCCGTTTTCCCGCCCTCCCCTCTGCCCGACATGCGCATGCGCAGAGATGGCTTTTCCTTGTGCCCGCCACGTTTGAAAAGGGCAAAAGTGAGGGCACATGGCCACGTCCACCCCCGGAAGCTATAAAAGGGCCGGGCAGGAAGCGAGCGCTCAGTGTGCTGCGCGGCGTGGGTGGGACTGGATGTGTTGCATTTGCGCTTTATGCTACGCGTTAAATGTAGCGCTTCTGCGGCTTTGTGCCTGTGCGCGTTGCAGGTGAATCAGAATCTGGCCTTCTGATGTGGAAACGGGGGAAGTAAAACGGCCTGCTGCGATTTGGGGGGGTCAGCTTGGACTCGGGGCTCCCAGGTGCGCTGGAGGGGTGGGGAGGGGGGAAGGATTTGCTGCTCTGTGCGTGGCTGCTTTCTGTGTGTGGTGGTGGTTGTCCATGAGAGCAGGGCAGGCTTGCAGGCCTAAATCAGGTTTTCAGGGTTATTCCTATGGGTAGAAAACCCAGGTTGTTGGAGGGAGGTTGGGAGGCAGTGTCCAGTTGCTCTCTGGCAGCCAAGGGGCTTGAGATGGGATTTGGCTGTGTGGGGAAGCTGGGCTTTTGAAATAAAGCTTGCTTGGCAGAAGGGGTTGATAAACATCAGTCAGTGGGCCTGTGTGTCTCAGGGCTCCCCCAAACACTTGGCAGCAATCGAGGTGTTATGGCATAACAGCTGTGAGGAGAGGCAGCAGCTGCTTTACATGGGGAGGGGATGGAAACAGTAGGGAGAACTCAAAATATTTTAGCAATAGGGTCTTCAGAAACCTAAATAATAAAAACCAAGCATTTTGCCTGTTCCAGGCTGTTCTGGCTGTGTCTTGTAGCACGGTGCCTCAAAGTAGCAGCGCAGGAAGGACAGCAGCCCTGCTGATGCTCGTGGGCGTTTGGTGCTTTCCTATTTCAGTTTTGGCTCTCCAGCCAAAGCTGCTCACTCACAGTGACTGTCTGGGAAGAAGCAAGACTAAAGCAATTACATAATAGGGAAGCCTAAGATCAGCTTTCCATTCTTTAAATGCTTTGTACTTAAATATGGCATCGAGCTCAGAGCAAGCAGATGGTTTGACCTTCCTCCTGCCTTGCCTGTTGGAGTGGGTTGGGCTGTGAGGAGCTGAGTGCTTGTCTGGGAGTGGAGCAGGGTGGCAGTGCCATCTGGCTCGTGGCTTTGGCTGCACTGAATTGCACTGATCCTCATCTTTTGGGATGAAGCCGGCATCGATATGAGCAGCACCTGTGGTTCAGAGCCCAACCAATGAAGTGTGGCTCCTGGGAGGAGGAAGACTTGCGTTGTGCAATCGCACAGTCCAGAATTAAACTACGTCTGAAGGAACATTGTGGCTGTGACAAATAACTGGAGGAGACCAAATAGTTTGTTCCTTTTACATCTGTGGCATTTAAAAGCCAATGGGTTGTGCCGTGTCATATATTGCGTCATTGTGCCAAAGTCAAGTAATTGATGGGACCAGTAACAGTCTATGAGAACATTAAATGTCTCGGGAAGATGAAAGGAGCCCCGGGGAGCTGTTGGCATCTGTCACTGACACATTTGGGAAGGAGGAGAATACAAATTGCTCTGCTGTTTGCCTCTGAGTGGCTTTCATAGCCAGAGCGTGTGGATAAATGTTGTGGTCTGTAATGGGGGTGGGCATTTTGAAGTCACAGCCCTTTCTGTGCCTCAGTTTCCCTTGTTGTAAAGCAAGGACAGTGCAGGCTGCAGGCGTGGGAGGAGCTGCGGATTCAGGTTTACACTGGGTTGGTGCAAGAAAGCATTTTCTCTGACCAAGAAAATGACTTGCAGATCAGATGGTGGGGCAGTGGGGTTTTTGGGTGGATGGAAGGGGGTGTGCTTAGTGTGAGCAGCAGGGCAGCAGGCCCCTGCTTCTCTCCGTAGTCTGTCTCGATTCCTGGATGAGTCATGTCCCTTCTGTTCATAAATGCTGCCAATGGGAGAGATAAGGGTTTGAAGTGGAAATATGGCCCTGCTGGTGTGGCCCATCCTGGCACAAATGGTGGATTAGAGCCAATGTTTCCCTGCTCCTTCTGGACAAAGAAGTGTTTTGTCTTCAGCAAGCAGGAATCTGCAGAGCTCAAGCTGCTTACTGCATCTTTGTTTCTCAGGTTAAACCTGGAGTTAAACCGCCAAATATTAGAGCCCCCTGGAGGCGATACCCAAAATAAGGCCACAAATAGGGGAGGAAGGGGAGAACCCCACAGTGTGCCAGCCAGCGAGCCTAGAAAGCTGTAGGTGTTCCAAGAGGCTCCTGGGATGTGTCAAAGATAACTGCCTGAGCCAAGAGATAGGCAGCCCCACCAAGGGCAATGCAATGCTAGGTGTGTTACTAGGTCTGTTTGCTGCAGGGGAGTTGGACTAGATAACCTTTAAGTGTCCCTTCCAACTCAAAAGGTTCTGGGCTAGGCTGGATGGAGCAGTGCAAAGGGGAATTAATCTTCTGGCTTGGGGCTTTAAGAAGTGATCATTGGTGGGATAAAATAGGGTTGAGCCCAGTGCAGGCTGTTGCAGGGGATCTGGTCTCTCTTTTTTAGGAGGGATGTTGGTCCTTGAAGCCTCATGCTCAGGAAGTGTTGACAGATGTGGGTTAGGGACAGAGCCAGACTCAGATTTCAGCCCTGCAAACAAGCCAGTGTGGGTTTGCAGGAGCTGCAAGTTCTGCTCTAGGCCTGGATTTCTGCAGACCTTCACAAGAGGGCAGAAAACAGCTGCAGAAATGCGTGCAGCTCTGGGAGCCTGACAGTGACTTTGATGGGAAACTCTTGGGGACTTTTTGCTCTGCTTTGAGGCGTAGCATGGATTTGCTAGGAGAGCTGGTGTAAGTATGCAGCAGGGAGCAAAAACGAGCAGCAATCCTGTGGACATCCCAGTATGGGAGGTTGTGTGTTTTGTAGGAGCAGAGGAGCTGCTGCACTCGTTTTTCTGTTTCCTGGGAAGAACACTGGGATCCATCCTCACACGAGTGGGGATTTATTCTAGATATAAGTTGAGGAGGGAGGAGAAGGAGAAATGAAGCTGTGGAAGGAGATGGAAGGGCATTTGATTGAGATTCTGGGATGTTGGAGAAGGGGTGGGTGCATCAGCTGGACTTGGGGTCAGCATCATCTGTGCTGCAGCAGGAGGGCTTGTGCGAAGATGGGTTTTGTAGCTTGAGTTGGCTCTGGAGAAAAAAGGATAGCTTGCACAGGGTGATTTTGATTCCTTGTATGGTATTAAAACCCAGAAGTCTCCATGCAGTCAATGTTCTTTGGTGTAACCAGCAGGTTCTGCGTTGTAGGGCCAGGTGGCAGCTACGTGTCCTGCAAGACAAAGCCTGCTCTTGGAAGCCCTGTTTATGAGATGGGGTTTTCCTGGGTGTGCTGGCAGCCAGGCTGACTCCCAGGGGGATGCAAAGCCAGAGCTGGGGCTGATGGCAGCTGGGCCTCCAATTTTCCCTTCCAGTTTTCTAGTCTGGAGATGGGACATACTCATCTGCTTCTGTTTTAGCAAATCAGTGTCAGAGCATTTACAATAACATTCAGGCTAGTTTCACTTTTCAGCTTTCTTTTCTTTTTTTTTTTTAATAAAGGAACTAAAAATAAATCTTTAGTTGTAAAGCAAAATAAAAACAGTGCCATCTTTCATTCCAGTTATTATACAGTAGCTGGCATTCTTTAGACAAAGCTTAAAATAACCGTGAACATACCAGTGAAAATAAATGGGTGAGTCATGTTTGTTAATGCAGGATTAGAAGCGTTGCTCTTGGCTCTCTGTAACATCGCGTGCTCTCAAGCAGAGGTTTTGCTGGAAGTGAAGAATTTGGGCTCCATCCATTCCAGGTCCTCCTGAGCAGAACCTGTGTGCAGTCAGTGAGTGTTCTTGCTGTATTCATTTGTGCAGTCTCGATTTGTATGGCACTGTGGTGTCCTGAGCATTGCTGTCTGTAGTGATGAGGCTTGTGCCTCGTTCTTTGGATGTGGTTTTGAGGGTTAAACAGGGAAAGTCACTCAAATATACCTGTGTTTCTTCTTGAGTTCATGAGCATTTCTAGGTAGAAGGAACCAAAAGTGTTGCTGCATTGCGATCTTCCCTCTGAGGATGGAACCTCTGTGGTTCCATCATTCCTTTGCTTTTGTTCCTGCAGTTCATGGAGGCTAAAAGGACTTTGGGGCTGGGTGCTGCCTCTCCTCTCCCAGAGGGCAGCTGCTCTGTCTGCATGCACTGCTGCTGGCCCCTGAGGCTGTCCAGAGCCTCTTTACTCCTCCAGAGATGGACGTGAATCTGAAATCCTGCTCCCAGCGTGGATCCTGGATCAGATGGGGCAACACCTCAGCATTAAAGCCAGCAATGCTGGCTTCAGCTGACACTGGGTAACCCCCGCAACAGGTCTGTGGGCTGTTTCCTCAGTGATGGAGGGACCTCAAACCTGAACTCCCTGTCATTTTCAGCTGCAATGCCTCATGAAACGATTCCTTGCCTCTACTTCCAGCCTTTGTCTCTTTG